CCTGCTKGGTACACATGTGCTCTCTTGTGTCTGCATGCATGTCTGCTAATTCCAGGTCTCCCTTGAGATAGCTATCAGGAGGCAAGAAGGCATGGAAGACTGCATGGAAATATCTGGAGGTGCAAATAGGGTCATCTTTGTGGACATGAGGAGCACATGGATGGGTGTGTTGGTGATAGGTATGGCCTGTCCTTCTGTAGGTCTTTTTCTCTTGAATTGCCTGGATCTTGTTGCTCTGTCTCATTCCAGCTCTGACACGTTCCTTCTTGAAGTTGTGCTGTTTGCGTAACCAGGAGTTGAGTTCCTGGCTCCTGGGCACCCCTGGGATCTGTTCTAGTGAAGGAAGGGGCAAGCTGCTACTGAGAACTTGTTGACTYCTATTCCATGTGCTTTGGAGAGTCTCCTAGGGGTTTAGCTCATAATCATAGTCCCAGTTTGTGCCATGTGCTGGTATAAAGGGCAAATCACTAACACAGGTCTGCCCAAAATACTGAAGCACCCAGAAACCAGCTTGTTAATGGCTTTAAATCCTGATGCAGAAAGACACTCCAAATATTTGTTTCTGTTTAATTCCTCATGGAAGTAGTGCTACTRCTCTCCTGAGTACTGTGAGCTTGAGGCTTGCTGGTGTCTAGAGAAAAAAAATCTTGTAACACTGGCTAACGTGATCCAGCAAACTTCTGTCATCTTTAGACAGGGGTAGAGCAATTTCAGTTCAGGACAACATGGGGAAAAAAATGGGCTTTCATTTCAATAAGAGTTTTCCTTTTTATTTTTCTGCAGAGTTCAGATGCTATGTCCACATGGAATGGAAAACCAAATAACAGGAAATAAATTTGCTGTGTGTATTTGTCACTAGCACATAACACATAGCACTCAACAGCCAAAGAAACTCATATACTTCATAGCGATTCTGTGATTTGATATTTTTATATCAGCGAGAAGTAGAAGGTAAGAGAGAAAATATTTATTTCAGAGAAAAGAAGAGAGGTCTTACATTGAGTCCCTTTTACAATGTTAGAAATACTACATGCATTTTATTTTATACACGTTAAGTCATATGACAGCATGAGATGCTGAGAAGAGAATAGCCTGGAGGAAAAATGACTCAGTGTTTTACTCGAAGCATGGCTGTGCTCTGTGGCTGTGTGCATGTGCTATTTCTGAAACTATTTTCCTTGCTCTTAAGGGTTTATCCTTGAAGCCTCTGCCTTACTATGGCTGTTAGAGGAAATGAATGTTATAGTCTGCACAGGATGTTTGTAATCCACTCCTAGTGGTATAAAAAKAACTTTTGCAGGTTCAATTAATTTACAAATAATCTTGATAATTTTGGATTGATGTAATGAAATTCTGGCAGATTTCTAAAGGTGCCATCTATTTAAGTATCTCCATTATAAACAACATATTCACTATACATCCCTACCCCTCCAGCTGAGAGACAGGATAAAATTGTAAAGAAGCAGTTTATGATCAGTTTGGGAAGTGAGAATCAATGAAGTCTTGTTTAGCTGGCAGTTAATTCCTCATTTGTGTTTTTCCTACTTGTTGAGGGTCCAGCGTTCTGGAGGCAGCAAACTAGCATGAAGTCAGACAGACCAGGCACAAAATGTCTTGAGTGCTGGCTGGAAGGGACCTCTTGCTTCTTGGGGGTTGCTAGATCTGATGTCACTGGTGATGTGGGCTGTTACAGTCCCTTATGTTCATCTGCACAGGAATCTGCTTCCAGGGAGAACCTGGTGTTTCCATAAGGCAAAATCCCAACCTTGTTAGATGGTCTGAAAGAGGGAGAACACTCCTAATGTTCTTATCTGTTATTGTCCCGAAATGTACTGCTTTTTCTCACTTCTGGTCTCCTGTGAAAGAGATCTGGATGGGTTCTAAGGTACCAGAAGAGTTTTGTGCAATGTAGAGTTTTAAGAGTTCTGAGTAACCCTGCTGTGCTCATCAGTTATTATAGGGCTTCCATGAGACTAGACATGATGATGGCCTTCCTCTTTCCTGATTTTAAATTTAAGCTGTTCATTGGAAGGGAAAAAACTTCAAAAATCTTCAGACTTATTCAGGAAAAGATCCTTGTCTCCTTTTCCCTATACATTCCCTCTTTCTCCCCATGGGCCTGTAGTTATCTTCCCATGTTACTTGCATGCTTTCGATGCACAAGGTTGGAAGAACTCCCAGTTGSTTTCATTTTAGATACTGTTATAATAATTTCACACTTGGCCCTCAGCTGAATTGAATTCCTTCTCTCTTGGAAAGAAACACGCATAGGAAAACAAACAAAAGCATATACCAGCTGGTGCCCAGTGAATTACAGACTGCTTGATAAAGTTCAAGGATGTTGCAATAGTACATGTGTGACTGGCATTTATGGGTGTTGGGCACCTTTTTGAGCACTATATCCTGGCATATTCTAATGCAGTTTTTCACTTGCCTGGTAAGAAAGGTGCTTAACTTCTCATGAACCTTCCTGATTCCCTTGATGGACCTGATACCTTTTCTTAACAGGAAATGGTGTAGATTGGTTCTTGCCTTCCAAAACACCTGGAGTTGGGTCCCTTTCCAGTTCAAAAAAAAAGTGTAAGTGGAGAAAATGTTTGATGACAGCTCCCAGAAATGCCCTGGTTGCAGAGTGATTCCAGCAAGGAGATGTGAGGTCACTTGTTGGTCTCCTGACAGCAGGTAGCCTCTTGGGTCACTGTTGGGCCATGGATCCCTCCTTCCAATTTTTCCCTCTCTATTTCCCCCTCACCTCAATCAAATGATGTTAAAATCATGAGGGTTGAGAGGAAAGTCAGTATTTTGGCATTGTGCTCCTGTTGTAAGAGATTTTGTTTCATAATTTCCTTGGTGAGTTGCTAGATCGCTGCTTGCAACATGGAAATGACAGCTGCACTAGCAAAAAAAGCTTCTATAACTAACATGAGGGAATGGGGGATGAATTAGGGGATGATTGGGACTCTCTTTTACTCTTGAGCAGGGAAAAATATGGAATTGCCTTCTGCTGTCTCTGAGATTTAGTAAAAGTAAGCCCTTGGTAAGGTTGCAGTGGACTGGAATATGTCTTGGCCTTGCATTGCAGGGAGTTAATTTGCTTTGTTGAAAAGCAAACAGCACAAAACAGCTATACAGTCCCAGGAGACTGTGTTGAAACTTCTGCTGTTTGTCTTCTAAATGGTCACAGAGTAAACTGAGAATTACGACTTGTTGAGGAAGCAGAAGTTTTTGATAAAGGGATCACTTAGAAGTTTGTCACATCAAGCTGAAAAAAAGATGTAGGTACCTCCAAATGATGAGGAGTTCAGGACCAAGAATTTTTCTGCAGTAAGAAAAGAAAAATTAGAGAATCAAACAACTTTATCAATTTTGACTTTGTCTATTCATTCTCAGATACCAAATCATTTGCATAAGTTTAAGATTTATAAAGCAAATGAACAAAAATTCTCAAGTGACGTTATCTTGGGACATCTTGCAATGTGATTTATAGGAAAGACACAAAAATGCATATATTATGCTAAGTGCTAGAAAGCCYTTTAAAACACCCACATTCAACAAGATGTTTTTCTTTTCATGTTTTCTTTTGCTGTATTTTTTTTTTTTTTCTCCAGATACCAAAGATGGTAGGTGTCTGGGCATAAGAATCTGCTTTCGCAGTTTGGAGCCCCAGCCTTTTATTCATATCCCTATGCGAAGCAGGATATCACTCCGTTCCCAACTCGTGCAAATGTGTCTCTTATCAGAGGGGTGCTGGAGCCGGATGTATAAAGCACCTGGCTGCCATCTCCGGCCGTTACCTGGAAACATCATTCTCAGCTTTGTTAGTGCCCTTAGGTAAACCATTCTGAGTAAAGACCGTAATAGGGACCTGTTGAGTTTATCAGGGAGGGGAAGGAGAAAGCAAGCATGAAATACTTTCCTGTATGCATACTCATTTTACGTAAGCCTTAAAATTGAGACGAGGGATAAGGATTTATTTATTTTTTTAAATATTGCAGGAGTACAGTGAACCTATGGGGAGGATTCAGATGTGTGGAAGATGCATTTGAAATGATGGCTCTATGAGTCAAGTCCTACCCCTCACTTTTACACTTGAAATTCTTCCTTTTTCAATTGTTACACCTCACTTCAGAGGCTGCTCCGTGCTTTATTACTGCTTATCYGGATTCAGGCTGGAATTTTGTCACCTCCGGAGAAAAGGGAGTGTAGCTGTGTACACAGAGACGGGGTGCTCGCCTAGGCAAAGGTCTGAGCTCTGTCAGTCAAAGCTCCTGGGCTTTCCAAGAGGGATTAGTGTGTTTGGGGATTGTCTCACTTAAATTTTGCCTGTGCAACAGGTTTCTGTTGCATGCCACTGCTGCAAAGTGCACTACCCTTTTCTAGGAAAGTAGAGTAAATTAGTAAATTAGAGCAACTTTGGAGGAGGCTTTAAATCATAGTGGCTGAGGCCTTTTCCTGGTGCTTTGTGCTTCACCCTGTGCCTTGTCTATTAATGTTCCCCACAACAGCCCCAGATCTGCATCTGTGCGCAGAGAAAAACCTGTGTCGCTGCTGGGTCATCCTTGGAAGGGAAATCTTCATAACCCCTTTATAACAGCCATCAAAGAGTGAGAATAGAATCTTTGCTGGGGAAATGTGCATTCATCAATTACTGTAACCCAGCATTACTGTTTATAYTCTGAAGGGCATAGACTAACAAAAAAGATACTGGAATAGTTTTTCCTGGGTATTGTGCTTTTAGATGCAAATGTATCAGTTCCTGAAGCTGTTGAGGATTTCTTTCCCTTAACTTCCAGCAATATACAGTCAGCCCCAGGAAAGGCAGGCGGTTTCCACTTTCTCCAGCTGCAACAAATATTGGTCACTGCCAGAGGCAGGATGGGGAAATTGATGGATCAGTGGAATCATCCACTACCAGAAAATCCACAGCCGCRAAAATAGCCAGTTATTCTTGTCATTTCCTTGTCCTGACACCATTTCCTGTCCTCCCGTTAGGCTCTTCTGAAGATTGCCTGGATGACAGATCTGCTTTGAAGACTGTTCAGCCCTGGTGCCAAGCACCTCTCCTGCAGAACGTCAGTGGAGAGCAACAAACTGGGAGCTGGAGTAGGAGCTGCACCGACGTGGAAAGGCTTTGATCAGGCTTGGCCCACACCCAGCTGATGAGTGGTGCGGACACGGTTAGTTTTTAACTCCTGATCATATAAAAGCATAAGAAATGTGCTTTGCTTATGAGTTTTATCATATCTGCTCTGGATTTAGTGTCCTGCTTGGAGCTGAACAGGAGAGGGGAGCAGGGAGCTGTGGAGCGGAGCCAACCCCAGCTCCAGATAGTCAGGATGGGACTGAGGCAGGTGAGGGAGGAAGGTGAATGAATTTGTTCAATAAGGTTCTGCAAGGGCAGCTTATTTTGCCAAAAGTGGATTAATAAGATCTCCCAGCTGCAGCTCTGCTGGCAGATCTGAGAGTGATAATATCTGGCATAGGCTGGTGGCAAGCAGATGCAGTTGGTAACCTTGTTGGCAAGTACAGCTGTCATTGCAAAAGGAAGAATAATTTAATGCAGTCTTTAATGCTGCGATAAAGACCTTTGGGGAGCCATGAACTAACAGCTGCAAGTGTCTGTGACAGCTGGGCCTGGCTTTGCAAAGACCCGGACCTTTAGCACGTCATCATCAAACCCTGTTAACTAATTTTAATTGGTCATGGTAGTTCTCAACTTGCCATTAGTCACTTTGGGATTTTATGTATTAAAAAAAAATATGGAAATAAAAGTCTAAAGAGCCCTTAGATTTTTAAAAAATTACTATTATTATTATTAACAAGTGATACTGCTTGTAAAAAATCACTTGTAGCCTAAGTGGGGTTCTTTAAACTTGTGGCTTTGTCTGCATGGAATCTCTTGCTCTGGGCCAGTACCCTTAATATTGCATAAATCATTTAACATCTAGAAATGTGTGCAAGTCTAGTATCTCATACTGTCTGCAATTCTAGCTACTCTGAGGATGCACATTTCTGAAAGATTAGTTAACACTGATTAAGCCTCCTTTGCTTCTAGATTATAATTATGGRTTTAGGTTTGTTTGCATTTTTTTAGAACTATAATGAAGTGGCTATAAGTTTTATAATAGAAGAAATATTAACAGTAGTAGAAATTAAAATATAAAGCTATTTTTCCCATGTTTGGGTCAGTTTTGTGGGATGAARCTCTTAAATTTATGTTTCTGGTTTTCTTGATCCAGTGCTTCTATAGAGCRTTTGTTACCTTTCTGAGTGTTTGCATGACCATGGGAAAATCAAGTTAGCAAGGGAGAATATTACACATATAATATACAGCTTTGCGCTACTTCTGGGATGGAAAAAATGGATTTTCAGCTGATTTTAAATCTCATTGTTTGCATGGGAAACATATAGTTTAGCATCGTTCAGAGAACTTTGTCAACAGAATGACCAGGGAGTCCCTTACAGAGTGAAGCCTATTTAATAATGAAGCTGTAATTAAAAGTAATAAATCCTGAATTGATAGCACAGCTGTACTGCATCTTCATTGTCTCTCACTAGGTACAGTTGGTCACAATAGTGACCAACTCACAATAGCACTGAATGCCAAAAACTAGCTCGAAATGGTTGAGAAAGTCCCATACTCACATGGGCGCATGATTCAAAAAGCGGAGCAGAGGAAATGCGAGGTGGTGATGGTTTCATTTCTTGGGGTTTGAGCTCTGGTTTCAAGATGTCACATTTCCGTTATCAGATGGGAAGGTGCTCGATGAYACCTTGGATGCAGAAAACAGAGAATCCAGCCATAAAGCACATATAACCTTTTTTTCTAGCCTACAGGTGAATCATGATGTTTAATGGGAGGAAAATGATGGTTTCCAGGGTAGTTTGCTGGTGCCTTAAATGTCCTAAAATCTTGAATGGGTTTATTTGTATAGTTGCACAGGGTGACTTAAACCATGCAGCCAGTTTGCATCCTGGAAGCAGCTCATTGCAGCTGGTCTTGGAGAGCAAACTCATCCTCAGGTCTCCTCTAATCCTGTCTGTCAACCAGGTGCTCGGCTGCAAGGAAAATGAACTTCCAGATCCGTGCTTTTCCCTGAAGTGGGAGTTCTGGGACTTACCTGTCCATCTTTGGAATAAAAGAAATAAAGAGCAGCAGTTATTCATTAATGAAATTTCAAAATTTCACATTTTCAGAAAGCATTTTAGCCATTGTATAGCCTGGCAGAACGATAGCCCCAAGCCAACAAATGCCTAAACCAGCCTACTAAGTAAACTTCTGTAAGCAAGTCGGCAAAGCTGGTGATAAGTAGGTGGATACAAATAGAATTGCTTAAGAATAGGTAAGGGTTTAAGTATTCAAAGCTCTAGATGCTTGTGCCAGTGAGCATGTCTTCCTGCAGGTGGGATAGGAGATACTTAGAGGAGAAGACACTGAAATGTGCTTTACTTGGTCAAACTGGTGTTACTAGATGTGCTACCTCTGAGGTCAGAAAGCAAGAACTAATTTTGAATTGAAGAATCATGTTTATTTATTTATTTATTTACTTATTGTATTTGACCAGGATCTCCCTGTGTCCCTGTACCCTGGAGTCCCCATTTGCCATCCTCTTGACCCTGGGAGGTGCTGCTGGAAAAATGGACTGTGCAGAGGAGCTCTGGATGCTAAAACATCTCTTGTTCTCACTCAGTAAAGAGTTATAACAAGAACTGACGAGGCCATAAGGTAGYGTTTATTTTATTTATTTATTTTTTAAACAGTCTRGAAAAGAAAAATGGTGAGGGAGAAAAGCTGCATTGTCCCAGTTCACAGTCCCGTGAGTGATGGCTGAGCGGGAGCCCAGCTCTCAGCGCTGCTGCATCCGCTCTTGACGACTTTGGCCGGGCGTTTCCCATTGCTTCCCTTTAATCCATGCATTGCAGCCCCATAAAGTTATCATAGGAAGTGAGAGCATTTTTTGGAATTAATAAAAGAGCACCAGCGTTTGTTAAAAATAAGACTAGTCAATGTGAATGTTATCAGACAGGTGTCTTGCTTCAGCCATAAGATAAGGCCAGGATAAGTGGCAAGGAGCTCTGTTTTTTAACCTATCATTTAAAGCTCGGTTTTCTCAAAAATACATTTTAGATGCCCATGAGTACATCAAATAGCTGAGTGATGACAAGTACATCAAATATGGGAAAACTAGCGAGTGGCAGGATGATGAGTCACCAGGTCCACAGGCCTTGACAGGAGCGGGAAGGCAGATGCACCTTCCCGCTCTAGGCACTGCTTTGCAGGCCAATGTCTCAGGRTCAGTATTTTCATTTATTTATTTATTTTCATCTCCAGCACAGCACCCTGTAGGTATGTGCTGTTCAGAGAAAACATAAGTAGTGATGCAGGCCTGATGGCATCAAACACGGATGCGCGTGGCCCTGGTGATGCGCCTGCTCCAGCACAGCTGCCGCCGTTACCACCAAAGACACCCGAGCCTTTCTTCAGCGCCTTGGTACAGCTACTTGATGTACAGGAGTGGAAAATCTCTCATGCTCATCTGATCTTTATAACTATATGTGTCATATTTGGGCAGCCTTGTAATAGTTTATTGACCTTTCCTTTTTTTAATATCTATTTAATTACAGCAAGCTTGCTGTTTTGCAGGATGCAAGAACTTTGTTCCTCTGTTCCTCCCATTGCACCCCAAAAAACCTTTTTTCCTTTTGTTTTGGAAGAGGCAAGCTAGGTTTTTTTTAAGCACTTTGAAAATCAATTATCTTTTCTAATACATTATGCTTGAACATATTTATGTCTTTTGGTGTCTTGGCTGTCATCTKTGACAAAACATGTGCACGAGCCCGTTTTTATGCTGCTCATTTTGTGGCATCCGAGAACGAACTGAAAATTTGTATTTTGAATACTAGGTCATTCATGTTCCAGAAACTGCCCAGCTATCTAAAAACAAAAAGATGAGAAAAATAGGAAACAGTACAAATTTTCTTCCCTCTGTTTTCAGGCAGTTTTCTGTTCTCAGCTTACTTTCCCTGAAGTCATTTATTTTTGATTGCACGAGGTGAATAAAGTTGCCCTACTGAGCACTGAAAATGACTGGGGGTGTTGTGTGTACTCTAGGAGTAACTGCATATTTCACATAATGGTGATTGCAAAGGACTGATAAATTCAATGATCCAGCACTTGCACATTATGGTCTGGCCATTCAAACATGTTTTGCAAGTCAGGAGGCCAGGCAAAGTTTTTGCCAGCTTTGGCCCTAGTGCTATAAACTTGCTGGGAAGTGTGAGCAAAAACTCTTACTGAGCTCCTTGCTTCCGTGCAAATTTCTGCTTCTGAGAATGGAGTAATGGAAATCACACTGTTTTTCCCCATATCCAAACGTTCATCYGGTGGTTAGCAGAATAATTCCTTATGCTTCGGCAAACCCACGTGCATGATGACTGCTGTTTTGCAATGGCACAAGGTGGTTGCGTCACCAGTTTCAGTAGGCGACAGGAGACGAGTATTGCTTCTTGAGCGTGCTCTTACATACCGTGCAATTCCCAAAGGTATGGGATGCAAATATAATCCTTCACAAGGGTGGTTTTTTTCYTATTGCTCTGCACCTCGTTAGCAGTGATAACCTCAATGGAAGTTGAACATCACCGGGTGTGAGCAGGAGGGAGCTGCCATCCAGGAAGGCACTTGGGAGAGGGGGACATCTGCATGGAGCTTGCTGGGCTTGGAAAGGGGCTTCCAGGTGCTGCTCAACTTTYCATGCTGCAGCGTGTCCCGGGAAAGCCCGTGGGGCATCAGCTGCCGGGCAAGGTAAAGTCGCTGCCCTCTGTTCAGTTTTCCTGCCTGAACAAAAATGCATCTGTGAGGATTTGAAGGCTTGGGAAAGGTGGGTGCTGCCRGGGCGGGATGCTCAGGAGAACCAGGAAGGGTGGGTGGCAGGGATGCCTAGGTGGGTGCATGGGAGAGGCAGGTGCCTGGGGGAGCAGGTACTCGGGAAAAGCCGGTGCCGTGCTGGGGGATGCTCGGGAAAGGCGGGTGTCCCGAGGCGGGATCGGGAGGGAAGCCCGGGAAACAGGGATGTTGGGGCAAGGCGCGGGTGGAGGCGGGCGGCAGCGCCGGGGGCGGCGCTCGGGCTCGGCCGGGGCTGGTGCCGGTGCCGCCCCGGGGCGGCCGCCGCGGGCCGAGCGCGGGGACAAGCGGGAACAGCGCGGAGACAGCGCGAGCGGCAGCGCGGGGACAGCGCGGGGACAGCGCGGGGACGGCGCGGGGCTCCGCGCAGCGGCAGGTAACGGCGCCTCTGCGCGGGGCAACGCGCTGGGCGCGATGCGCGGCGCCAGGTTTGGGGGCGTTTTCTGGGGATACGGCGCGTTTGTGCCGCGCCTGCCCTGGCCTCCCACGTGTCCGGGGAAGCGGGTTCGCCCGGCAGTTCTGCTCGCTAATCCCGGCTCCTTGCTTTGCGCTCAGTTGCTGCGGGGCCGCCGCGCAAGGCGCTCGGGCCGGAGCGTTTGCGTTTGTCGGGATGTTTCTTGTCTACGGGGAAGAGATAGAGCCGCTTCTCCCTGCCCAGCCCGTGCGGATGAAGGGATCCGCGTGTGGACCTGCCTGCTTCCGTGAAGCTGGCGTGATCCTGACAACGGCGAAGCAACTAGGGATCCAAAAAATTAAAAAAAAACATTTTTTACTTGTGATGTTTGGGGTGTTGAGCTAACTCGGAAGGTCCCCTCCAAATTCAGCTGCTCTGCGATTCTCTGACAAGAAATGGTCTCGCTTATCAGTGCTGGTAGCGTAGCACAGCTGCTGGCAAGAAGGGAACTTGCCCTTGATTTTATGAGTGTCAGTTGTTCAGAGTACTCTGTAAGCTGAGTGATGACGTGTTGTATTAAGATCATAAAACTTTTCACCTTGATATTTTTATGTTTTCAGTGATTAAGCTGTGGTGTTTGTGTGCTGGATGTTTTGCAGGCTTTCTTTTTTTTTTCCTTTCAGAATATATTGTCAATTAAGTGGTTTCAGGTGTTGATGCTTGTGTGTAATGAAGTTATTTGATTTCCTCTTATCATTCATTGCCATACTAAAATGGCTTATTATAAAGCTGACAGACTTTTCTTGTAGTGATGCATTCCGAAGATGGCTTCAGGACATGTAGTTTTACTTGGCTGTAGCTTTGGGAAGAGAAACTCAAGACTATGCAAAGAGGAAAGTTTGATTTTTAGTTCTTAAATGTTTGATTCTTTTTTGCTTGCCTTGTAGTTTTAGAAAGCAATTTTAGTCCTGATTATGGTACTGGAGAAGCCGAAAAGTAGTTTGAGCATAGATGTATTTAAATAAAGGAGTTAAATAACAAAAGCATGTGGAGGGCACCTGTTCAGTTGACAGTGGATGAAGCTGGGCACCTAAATGGCAGGTGGGTTCCCATAATCATCCTCCCTGTGACCATGGCACAGCATATTAGACAAGGGCGGAAGTGTTCACGGGAGGTAATCATTACCCCACCTGGCTCAGATTTGCTGCAAGCCTTTTCCTGTTTTTTTCTTTTTTTTTTTTTTTCCCTTGCATTTAGTAACACAAGCAGCTGGTTTCCAGCTAACTGCACTGATGAAATTCCTCTTACTTGAGCAGGTAGTTATTCAACATGTACCTCCTCAGGCAAGAAGAGCTCCTGAGAGCTCTCTCCACCTCCTGATGGAGGTGATGGGTTATGCTTTGAATGCTGAAGTTAACAGGGYTTTGCTGCTGCCTTGGATAAAGTTGGGATCTGGCCTGGCTTTGTGGCAGGTGCCAGAGGTGGCTGCATCAGAGCAATCCAGCCTCATGCCAGGAGATATCACAGGCCTTCCCAATGAGGTTTTGCCAATATTGTGTGTCAGTAGTGATTTTAGTCTGACTTGTGSCTATTTGCCTGCATCCTCCTCTTACTGGAGGTGGCCATGGGCGGCCTATCACAGCAATGGGGAAATTTGTGTAGAACTCAGGTGTAATGACTTGCACTTTTTCTTTTAGTTTAGTATCAAGAAGATCAGTTTTTTATCAGTCAGGGTTGCTCTTCCAGCTAGGAGGAGATGCTGAATTTTGGTCTCCGAAGGCCATGCGTGGTGTCTCGCAGCAGCTCTGCGCTAGCCCAGGCCTCTTTGCCCGTGGCAGCGCTCTGCTCTCTGAATCCTTTGGAGAACAGGACTAAACAYGCTGAAAATGCTCTGCATTTCCTCCATGCCGTTTCCATCCCTGAGTGGAAGATCATTCCCGATTTCCTCAGAGAAAGGATTTAGAAGATTTATGTTGGCATCCTTCCCATCTTCTCATTTTACTCCCGTTTGTATTTGTTAGGTAATATACTTACATAAAGATTTGTTTTTAAGGAAAAGGGACATTCTTATTCCTTAACTGTTCTTACTGAAGAAATTAACTCTTCCCTGTGAAGTCCATCAGGTGTCCTAACCCTAGGGACTGTTTCTTCCAGTGTCGGTCGCCTTTGCAAGGTTGTGATGCTCTCAGAGGTGTTAGTGCCAGGCAGGGACACTGATTTCACTTTGAATATACTGCTATAAAATCAGATGAGTGTTTTGTATTTAGGCATTTATGTTTTTCTGAGTAATTTAGGCTTTGTTTCTGTGGAGGCTCCCGACCAGTTGCGTTCTGCTTGAGGGCCTTGGTYGCAGACTGCAGAATCCCATTTAGGACATTGCAGAG